AAAAAGACGACCTGAACTTTTCGCCAACAATCCATGGCTCTTGCATCATGACAATGCACCAGCTCACACAGCACTGCCTGTGAGGGGGTTTTTAGCCAGTAAACAATTGTATTGGAACACCCTCCCCACTCACCTGATCTGGCCCCCAATGACTTCTTTTTTCACCCAATGATAAAGGAAATATTGAAAGGAAGGCATTTTGATGACATTCAGGACATCAAGGGTAATACGATGACAGCTCTGATGGCCATTCCAGAAAAAGACTTCCAAAATTGCTTTCTAGGGTGGACTAGGAGCTGGCATCAGTGTATAGCTTCCCAAGGGGAATACTTTGAAGGTGACTATAGTGATATTCAGCAATGAGGTATGTAACAATTTTTCTTAGGATGAGTTCGTGAACTTAATTGTCAGATCTTTGTATATGCACATGATTCTATTCATGGTAGAGAGGTGCCCTGTTATCAGGTTTCCCAAACTTTGGAAATGACACACTGAATGTGTGATCTCTGGGTCCAAAAGGCAATAGCGATGGCAGCCGCTGAATACGCAAGTATTGGAAGAAGCCGAATTATGGGCCTCTCCGAGAGTTCTTCTGAAACATCCAAGCTAAGCTCTAAAAGTGCTAAGGAAAGAAAAAACAGAAGAAAGAAAAAGAATCAAAAGAAGTTCTCCAGTGGCGAAGAAAAAAGAGATGATGAGAAATTGTCCAAATCAGAATCAGATGAGAGTATCAGGAGAAAAAGTTTCTACCTGGGTCTTGAAGGTCACAGGCGAGCACGTGAAAAGCGATTGTCTACTCCTAATCAGGTAACATTAACACCATCAAATGCATGTCACCATAGGTAGGATTATAGAGGAAAATGCTCTCTTTTGAGGGACAGGATCTCAGGAGAACAGAGTGAGTGACTTGATTGGTATGTTTTTAGGTAAAAACTACTGATTGCCGGGCATTTATAGAAAGAACACGGTATACATAGTTTTCCAGTTAAGTCTGTAAGGAGCTTATAGTTTTGGGATTGTCATATCTTCTCCAGTAAACAAATTCTTGAAACAAAATATTCGTGACAACCATTGTAGAAATGAAGAAATTATTTACACTGTAGATTAACTTTTACATTTTTATTTAGTCTGTGTTTTATAATGCTATGTTGGTTAAAAACTAGCTTTAGACTAGTTTTGTTTTGTTTTGTTTTTCTCTTTTCTTCACCATTGTAGGTAATGTATTAGCTAAATACCACTCATCTAACCTGGGAAATTGGAGACACCTTGACAGCCTCCACCCCCCACTGCATCAGATACTAACATCTAGTCCCATAGTCTGTTATTCCTGATGATGTGGAATTTCTCTTTCCCTTTCTTTCTTTTGCCACAATCACCTCCATATTTCAGGTCTTTCTACCTACAAACCCCCAAGGTGAACCATTGCTTCTATTCTCCCTAACCCTTCCCTATTTTCTAACTCACAACCTTTCCAAATCATGTTTCTAAATCAAAGCTGTCCCTTTGCTCAAATTCAAAAAAAAAAAAAAAAGAAAAGAAAAAAGCTGTTGAATAACTGCTGACTAGAGAGGGGGACCCACATGTTACCCACCCATGCCGTGAATGGCTTTAGCTTCATTTCCCATCTTTCTGTGCCTTCACGTACACTCAATCCACCATGATTTTTCACTCTCACCTACATGCCCTGTCCTTTCAGGCCTTTATTAATTAGCACACATGGTTTTCTCTTAGTGTGAT